AGTCATTGTTTAGAAGAATAACAAGAGATAGCCCTTGTTCTCCTCTAGGAAAGAAATGGCTTTGGTCCCAGTGAACAATAGACTAAAGGGTAATCCACCTATTTGGATTCAAGGCAGAGGACAGAGAAAGGAAAGGGAATTTGTTCACTAGTAATTGAAAATTGATTTTTCATTGACATATTATTCATAGTTCAGCTCTGTCACTTACTGTATTACTTGAGACAATTTACCTAATTTTTCTGTGTTTTAGTTTCCTTATTTATAAAATGGATAATGATAATAGGATCTGCCTTTTGGTTTTTTTTGTGTAGAGGAAATGAGACCATAAAGGCAAGTACTTGCAGCAATAGCAGGTGGTAGTAGATGCTCAAGAAGGGTAGCTGGAATGTTACTAATAATCTAAAGTTGACTCTTATTCTTCATCAGCAGATATTTACTTAGCTGTTGAGGGTGAGCCATGGAGAATGAATGCCCAAAGTCCTAGCCCTTGAGATGCTCATATACTATTCAGGGAGACAGGCACACAAGTCACTGGTTACAAAACAGCATGGTGGGTATGATGGTGGGGAGGTGGCCAGTATGGGGACCATGGAGGCAGGAAACCATGACTTCCCCCTTGGTGATTTGAGAATGGCTTCCCAACTCAAATTTTCCCTTCTTTGTGAAACCTACTCAGTTATAGGCACAAGTGACTTTCATTGTTATACACCATGATGGGAGCATTGTTGCATGCATATTACTGCGCAGGGAGTCTCCTGTTTTCATTGTTGCTGAGTCTTCTGCTTTCATTGTTGCTGAGTCTCCAGGATAGGCTTTTGTGGACATTGTGATGGATCTCTGCTCAGACACGTCATGCCACCAGTTGTTGGCAGACTCTTATCGATAAGTCATCAGGTCTCTGGTGAAACCCAGACTCTGGACTCTGTTACTTCATTCCCCAAGTATTTGAGTGCTGATTCCAAGACAGGCATGTACTGTGCCATATACCAGCTGTAGACTTTGGGTATGGCTGGTGCTACTTGTCCTACTAAGTCTTAGGGATGGGAGAGGAAAGAAATGTTTGCTTCAGATGCTCCAGGATAAGATGGGGAGGCAGAAAAAAGGACAAATGTAAAAGTGAACTGCGTAGCTGCTGACTCCCACTGCTCCTTTCCTCAGAAGTATGGCTGCTCACCCTCCCCTTGGGGTGGGGTTGTAGAGGAGCAGACCTGAGGGAGATGAGTAGGTGGTCTGTAAATTTTGACCAGGGGTAGGAGATAGTTGGTCAGGTTGGCTTCTGTGAGGGGCATCCTGGAGCATTTCTGGAGCCACTTTCTTAGAAAGAGAGAAAGTATCACTCCCTTCATGTGGCATTCATTCACCATCCTTGCTGGGCCCCTGCTTTGTTCTAAACCCTTTGCTGGATGCTGGGCCTATGCAGATGAAGGAGCTCCATTCTGTCCCTTGTGGAGCTGCTGGTTGGTAGGTGGAGAAGTCATATGTGATGGAGGACCTCAAGTGAAGTGGCCAAGAAGATTCAGACTCTGGAGCCAGGCAGACCTGGGTTCAAATCCTAGCTCTTCTCCCCATGGCCTCTGGGACCTTGGGCAAGTATGCTCCCCCTTCTGAGTCTCAGTTTACTGATATGTACAATGGGGATAGCAGTGGTACCTTCCTTGGGGCTGTTGTTAAAGAGTCAGTGAAATAATGCAAATGTTTATCAGGGTGCCTGACAGGAAGCTGATGCTCACAGAGTGTTCACTGTCATTTTAATTATCCTCAGTGCTGTGGGAGCAGCAAGAAGCACCTCTTTGGCTATTTTCTCTGGGTTCTAGTATAGGGGAGTGGTGCTATTTGGGTGGTGAAGGTGAAGATGATGGCTAAGTTATTAAAGAAAGCAGCTATGAAGTCACAAAGTGCTCAAGGAGTCCTAAAACATTCCTCAGGGGCCCTGTTGATCCAGGGCCATGGGTTTGTCTACAAGTGTTTCTTCTTTTGCACAAGTTCTTCTCAAAGGTGATTTCCCAGCACTACCAGGAGCAATCACCTGAAACAATCAATTCCAGGACTTTTCCCTGTGGGGAGGCATGAATCAGGCTTGTCTTGCCTGCACTTACTGAGGTGAGCAGAGACCATGAAGACCCAGAGCAGCAAATCCTTGCACGGTTTTTCTGCAGAGCTTTCAAATCCCTTGTGTTCTTTGCAGAAGATTTATCTCCTGAGCGTCAGAGAGGCGGATAGGGCAGCACTGAAAGCACAGACTCGCGTCAGGACGATGTGGGTTCGTGTTGTGATCCACCACTCACAAGCCCTGTGGTTTCAGGCAGGTGGTCACTCCTGTTTCCTCACCAGTGCAGGAAGTGTGATGGTACTTACCTCCTCATGGTTCCTATAAGGCTTCAAGGAGGTGCTGTGGAACAGGACTTCGCATAGTGCTCACACACCATGAGCACCTGGTAAATGTGAGCTACAATAACCAATGTTAGAGGGCTTTTTGGATGCCCTGTGGAGGGTGGCAGGTACAACTCGGCATGTGTAGGGAGTGCAGATGCAAGCTTAGGGCAGCCATAGGGCTCCAGTGAGGGAGAGGACAGAGTCACTTTGAGGGTGGGCCCTCTCTCAGCCAGTTTAGGAACGGAAGGCTGGTGTCCCCAGTTCTTTCTTTTCTTCTGTGATTCCACATAAATAATGGGTCTTCAATAGGAACTAATGCAATATGATACTGTCCCTCTTTAGGATTTAAATAATTTTATTATAAGGTTTTATTTTAAGTTTAAGACAATTACTTGAGTAATCAGAAGAAAATTAAATGCTTGGTTCAACAGTCAAAGGTTTCTCTACGATCATCTTATTGGAGAGGAAAGAAAGAATAATGAACGTAATTAAATTTGTGTTTATTGGATACAATAATTCTCACTCACTCTTGTATAAGCTTAATAACTAGGTCAAGGGAATCTGTACTTTTGGTACATTTCTGAGTAATTAAATATTTATGGAAAACAAGTTAATAAATTTAGGAGAATTTGTTGTGTCTCTTTGTGGCAATAAATTCTATTATATGGAATTAATGAATTTCACTATTTTGAAATATTTCTTATTTTGTGTCCTTTCTGTGGCTGTTTCTTTTTTCCCCTCTAGGCATCATTTCTCTAACACTTTGTCCACTAGTATTTGAAGATTGTTTCTCCATTAGGCTGTCGCAGCAAGCACCCTGCTGTAGGATGTAATAACACTGTGTGACCAACAGCCACTTCCTTGTGACTCCCCTACTGCTTCGCAGAGTAAGAGTCTGCATTTGTTCCTCCTGCCCTGATGATCTGAGTATGTCATTCCCTCTGCTCAAACCCCTTCATTGGTTTCTAAATTCTCTTAGTAAAAAGACCAAATTGTTAGCAAGGCCTGCAGGGTGTACCAATATGCTCTTCAGTGTAATTGTTGGTGGCATCTGTCTCCTCTGGTTTGGTATAATACAGTCCCATCAGATCATGCACTGTGGCTGCTTTGGTCACCTTCGGGTCCTCAATGCCTGGCATATAGCATCTGGCTCATAGGTGCTCCATATGTGTTTGTTGAATGAGTGCCCAGGAACTGATTTGAATCTATAAAATGAGAAGGTTGTTGGTTGGATCTGAGGTCCCTTTATTATAAAATATCCCAACACATTACAAAGTCTCTTAACACCAAAATTTTCAGCTTCATATTTATTCTGCATGGTAGGTGGGGGTAGGCTTTGAACTGCAGAGGATAAAATAGAAGCTCAGAGAGTTTAGACTGTTGAAGGTGTAGCTATGGGAGAAGTTTGGGGCTCCTCATGTGTCTTTTCTCACACCTTACGCTGCCTCAAGGGGTGGTTTCTGACATACAGTGGAGGAGTCACAGGTGAGGTAAGGAAACAGAGAGACTCGTTGAAAAGACGTATTTGTAATATTTTCCCTTGGTTTTAGTTATTTTAATTTCCTGATTATGAAATTTGAAAAGTTGAGTTCAATTTGGAGTGATGGGTTTTAAGGTCCGGTTTCATTCTAGGGACCAGGAAACCCTGGTCTTTCTTGTAAATGGCTCCAGTATAGTAATCATTGATGCTGATAGCTAAGATTAGAATTCGTTCCTGTTGCGAAGCTTTTTAATAAAATCAGAAGTTACTTGCTGATTGATGTGTAGCATTCTTTTGATATTTTCAAAAGATGCTGGTTGCTTCCATTAGCTATTTCTATACTTTATCTCTGGGCAAACCTGCTGCTGGGCTGTTTTGCAGTGAGCACTCCTGTGGCCTTTGTGCTCATCAGATGTAGTGCTAGTCCATCCCAAAGGTTAGAGATCATTGAGTCCATTCTCCCTACTTTCCGGATGAGCATGGGAACTTTGCCAGGGTTTTATACTCAGGTGTCCTGATTCCCTACCCAGCAACACTCATAGACTTCAGCATATCCATTTGCATATTGCAAGTTCTCAACAGCTACCGCAGCTCATGGAACATTGTGTATAGACTATGTCCACAAAGAAGCATTTCTCTCCGACGAAACCTCCGCGGCAAGGTTTTTTGTTGAATCTGCAGTGTGACTGCATGGGAAGAGGATCTAAGACCTGACTTAGTGCAGATCTGTGGCTGAGAAAAGGCAAGGCCTCTGGTGGGCTGTTAGCAACACACGGACTGGTCACAGGGGCTTCATCGTAATATTAGAAGGCTCCTTAAGGGCTGAGAGATTCTTGGAACTTAGTGTCATCAGCATAGCCAGTATACTTGTGGAACAGAGAGAGCAGCCTGGTATTACAGAAAGATCACTGAATATGAAGCCAGAATGCCAGGTGTGTCAATTTGCTGTGACACCTGCTTCCCAAGCAAACAGGAATATCTCCTGTGTGTGCACATCCTTTCTTCAGTGGAAAGCCCCAGTTTTAAGATCTGAGGTGGTTTTGTGAGGGTTGAGTCTGAGTAAAGAGAGCTGGGTAATATTAAAGTATTGTACCAACAATCAAAGGTAGCCTTATTCCTTCTTTGTTCCTCCCTGTCTTCCAGATCTACCTGCGTGCCGGCCCATCTGTCCATCCATCCATTCATCCACCCATTTATCCAGTCGTTGTTCAGGGCCTGCGGAGCGCCAGCACTATGCTGACTGTGGGGCTACAATAGAGGAGAAAGACAGGTCTGGTCCTTGCTACCTTTTAGCTTACAGTCTAGTAGTAGCATTCAATACATATAAAAATAATAACAAGTATATGAAAAATTAATTATGGTAATGGCTCCAGAAGAGGAGTACAAGGGCTTAGAGGCCATAAACGGATGGTTTTATCTGGCTAGGAGGGTCAGAAATAGCCTCTCAGCGGAAAGGTGAATTGGAGTTAGCCAGGTGAAGAGGTGGCAGCTGTATCTGTCATGGTCCCAGCTGAGCGAGGGTCTGGTAAATTCAAGAAGTAACAGCAAGCCAGTGTGGCTGGGACACCGACACTTGGGAGACACTATAGTGTTCCTGCCCCGGTGTTCACAGCACTGTTTTCCTGACCTGCAATGGGAATTCGGACAAATTCTACAGTTGCTGAGGCTTCTTCTTCAGAGCTCCCATCTGTCACCAAAGCATCCTTACTGAAACATTCCTGCGTGGTTTCCAAGATAGCAGCTGGGCTTATTTTTTTTTTTAATATATTTTATTGATTTTTTACAGAGAGGAAGGGAGAGAGAGAGAGAGTTAGAAACATCGATGAGAGAGAAACATCCATCAGCTGCCTCCTGCACATCTCCCACTGGGGATGTGCCCGCAACCCAGGTACATGCCCTTGACCGGAATCGAACCTGAGACCTTTCGGTCCTCAGGCCGACGCTCTATCCACTGAGCCAAACCAGTTTCGGCAGCTGGGCTTATTTTTATTGCTTTAAAGATCGGTTGCCTCCTATGCTTCTCCAGGGGATGGAAGAATACCTTGGTCTTATTAGTGGTTTTCATTCATGAAGTAAACATTTACTGAGCATGTAACTGGCTTGACTCCTTGTCCTTAGGAGCCCACAGACCTGACAGATAGGAATGAATAAATGATGATGCTGTGTCAGGGGTGTAAGTGGTGGAAATGGAAGCTTATGGGACCAAATCAGGATCACAGGATGTTAAAGGTAGATTTTCAGTTTCCCAGGTGAAGGGTGACATACTGCAGGAGAGAGCATGCGCTGTCTCAGGTGCGCTGTGTGTGCTGCTGGAATGTGAGGCTTGTGGTGAAGGGAGGAGGACGAGCTAAGGAAGGTGAGGTTGGAGAAGTGGTTTGAGGTCGGTACTCAGAGGGACTTGCAGGCAGTGCTCAGGAGTTCAGATGTTATCCTGTGGTGCGTGGAGAATCATTCTGGAGTTATAGAAGGAGAGAAGCGCCATCAGTTATGATCCTGGTGGAGGATGGGTGGTGTGGGAGGAGACTGGAGTTTGGGAGGTGAGTAAGGGGGCTATTGCATCTGAACCCGGGAGCCCTGTGATTTGGGAGCACATTGTTGGTCCCTTCTGTATTTGAGCTTGGGGAGCAGGGAAGAGCCTGCTATAGAATTCCCAGAACTTTTAGGTTCAGAGTTAGAATACATGAGGGGGTCTCAGAGTTAGAGTACATGACATCTATCCAGACTGCCGGTGGAGAGAAGATCCTAAACTGGCAGAAGTGGAAATCCCCTTGTTAGGTCTAAATGCCTGACTGAAATCGCTTACAGAATCCAGTGAAGAGGCTTTAATCCGAGAAAGCCAATGGGAAACTGATCTGTGATCCAACATGTGTTTTGTATTATCCTGAACTCAAAGATCTTGGAGTGTAAGATGGAGGCAGAGACCGGGCTGTCACTGACCCTGGTGCTGAAAGCCACAGGTGGGGAGTACTAAGAAAGGGTCAGGGATAACTCGGAAGTAGCTGTCCCTAATACCAGAGCCAACCACCCTGGTATGAAGCCATTTGCTCCCTAGGAAAGGTAAAAGAAGAGGGGTTAATGTTTGAGGAGTTCAGAAGCCCCAATGCTTAGGCAAAGAGAAGGGAGCAGATGGCTAGATGGGAGTGCATGTTCCAGTACAGAGTGTAGCATGCTGTTCAGCTCCTGTGGGATAGCATATAAAGAAGTGGTTCAGAATAGGGCGCAGACTTAGCTGGTTTCAAATTCTGCCTTTGCCTAAGGACTCACTACCCAAATGGCCTGGGTTAGGGTGGCCAGGACCCTGCATTCTTGGCATACCCAATAAGGCACGTTGGAGACTACAGAGCCAGAGACTATGGAGGACCGTCTCCGAGCAGGTGGTTGGCAGAATTCAATGGGATGATGCATGTGGAGTGTGTGCCAATAGGAAGCTCTCAATCAGTGTTATCTCTTAAAATGTTTGTGGGCTGTGGAAAGACTGGCCCAGCGATGACATGGTCAGGTATCATAGTCTCTGACTGGTGTTCAGTGTTTAGACAAGACTGAATATCGTGGTGTTGACAGGACCCTGTGGAAACTGTAAAGGAGGAAAGCTAACTGTCAGTTGCTTGTGTATAGCTTTTGCCTTCTTGCACCCATTGCGTACCCAGTATATCCCTGGGGCATGTATTCTGCTAGCTCTTGGTAAATTGTTTCTAACTCTCTTTCTTCTTATATATAATCAAATGAAGTTATTTCTTGAGCTTAATGTTTGTGGTTTACCTAATTTGAAATAAAGTACAGTAAGCCTTAAGAAATAGGGTATTTGTTTATACATATATTTAGCAAAATTCTTGATAACTAATTCCAGTCTAATGAAACTTTAAATCTATATGATATATAAGAGTATAAAAAAAGTAGAACTAAAGGATGTTTAAAGATTAGCTCAACTTTCCTGTTTTATATACAAGGAAACTGAGGCAAGAGAAATGAAGATGTTGACTAAAGAGTGGTCACAGTTGATGAGTGACAGATGTGGTTCTGGACTTTAGCTTCTGGCCTGTCCAGGAAAACTTGAATCCATCAGGGCATATAGAGGAAACTGAAGGGAATCCGTCTACACTGTTTTTGGGTAAATATCTGTGTTCACTCAAGAATGAACAAATAGAAACACTAACATTCACAAGGACCTACTGAGGAAATCAGCAGCAAAAGGGAAATAAACAAGGCATGCAAGAACTAAAGGAAGAGCAGGATTTGGGGAAAAGTTTCCAAGCCTTTACTCATGAGACTGAAATACATTTCAAACATCATCATCTTTGTTCTCTCAGAGAAGTTATAGATGCTCTGAAAGATGAGATGATGAGTCAGCAGACTGAGATGAAAAAGGAGCTTGAGACTTAAAGAACATGAAATAAATCACACAATGCAGCATCTGAAATTAGCTGGCACTACAGAGAGTCAGGAGTCAAGAGGAGGATCCACTGCCCATCTCAGAAGGGTCAAGAAAGCAACAGGAAACCCCAGATGTGGATGATGGACCAGATCGGAGATCATAACAAATGGAATAGAAGTAATCCTCAATTTTTCTGAACTGAAGAAGACTTGGGTTCATCATGAATCAGGCAAAACTAGCAAACTAGGTAACACTTAAAATAATATCCAGGTGAAGAAATTTTTAAATTTTGAGACTGAAGAGAGGATACATAAGCACCTAGGCAGAAGGAAACTTAAAGTCAAAGGGGAAAAAAAAGACTAGGCTGGTCTTAGACTTGTCTACAGTAGGTTCCAGAAAGCTGTGGAGCAGTACCCATTGAATTTTGAGGGAAGAGGGTTATGACCCAATAATTTTATACTCAGCCAAGTTTCAGTTCACATTTGACAGTAAAGAAATTCATTTCAGTCATGCAAGGACATACCTTGTGTGTAGCTTTAGCTACAGCCATGCACCATTCCTGAGAAAAAAAACACTAAGAGGCGTGTCTGGCCACTGAAAGATAAAGTAAAAGACCATGAATGGGCAAGTCAGCGTAGGAAAGGATTGGCAGTGAGAGTGGAACCATTCAAGTATAAAATCATTTCTAAGTAACTGTTGTGATTGTACTTATAAAATAGAATACAAACGAAACAATTACTGAAAGAAGATAAAACATTAAACCATTATTAATAGAAGCAGGAATAGAATTCCTGCTCAAACCAGAGATCATGTGTATGAACACACTGCACTCCACAGAGCTACCCAGATATGAGTGATGAAAGATTTGAGTAGTATGCAGAACACCTGGGACCACTTGTATGGTTGTTCCTCTGGGCACTGTCTTTTCCAACGTCCTGGAAAAGACAGGGCGTTTGCTTGGCACCTTCATTCTGCAGGTTAGCACACTGCTGGTGGGAATGTAAAATGGTGCACGTTCTTTAGAAAACAATTTGGTGGTTCCTCAAAAAATTAAACATCAAGTTACCACGTGACCTAACAATCCTTCTCTTAGGTATATACCCAAGAGAACTGAAACATATGTCTATACAAAAGCTTATACATTCATTTCATAGCAGTATTATTCATAATAGCAAAATGGAAACAGCCCAAATATCTGTTAATTGATGAATGGATAAGCAAAAGGTGGTATATCCATACAGTGAAATATTATTCAGCCGTAAAAAAACAACAAAGTACTGATTCATGCTATAACATAGATGAGCCTTGAGAACATTCTAAGTAAAAGACACCAGACACGAATATGATGTCTAGAAGAAACAAATCCATAAAGACAGAAAGTAGTTGAGTGGCTGCTGAGAGACGGGAGGAATGGGAGTGAGTGCCAGTGGACACAGGGTTTCTTCTGGGGGTGATGAAAAGGTTCTGGAATTAGAGAGTGGTAATGGTTGTACAACTTGGTGAATACACTAGAAACTGCTGAATCTCCAGAAAAGCGTACATTTTATGGTATATAAATTAGGTCTCAATTTTTAAAAATAGTTCTTTTCTCGTTATTAAATATTAATCGTAGCAAACTAAGAAAACAAAGGTAGACAAAAAGCAACCATCCTCTTATTGTTAATATTTGGGGTACATATATCCAGACATTTTTATGTGTAAGTCTCCACAAGCATGTTCTGCTTTAGCCTCTTGTGAGGGTGTTTATGTAGGAAGGAATGTTTTGCTCCCTACATAAGTGGAAACAATGGAAATAGTGCACTATTTGGAGTCAAAAGACCTGGGTTCCTGCTCTGACCACCTCAGGTTTGTGAGCTGGAGAGAGGCACTTCATTTCCTTCCTCATCTTTAAAAGGGAC